GACCGACGGTTCACGATAGCTGTAAAGGGAAAGAAAGGATGAGATGTCAGATTGGGATTGACAAGGGAGGGGAAGCGGATAAGAGATGATTGGGTGGGACAAGAGAAAAGAAAGGTATGTAGGTATAAGGGGGGAGGGAAGGGGGGAGAGGTAATAGTCAGGCAAAGTGTAAGGTGTGTGTGGGTGGGAAAGTATAAGAGGGCGGGTGGTGGAGGAGAAAAGAGGAGAAAGAGAGGAGAGAATGGGGAATGGGAAAGAGTGGGAAAGCACGGGAAGACCCAGTCAGCTTCCCTTTAGGGCCAAGGGACCATTGGGTGATTTGTTTGTTTTGGTGCCACGTAAGAAATCACAAAACAGAAAAGAAAACAAAATAAATAAAATAAGAAAAAAAATAAAAATAAATCAAAAGGACCGACCACCAAGAAGTGGAGGAGGCGAACTAGAGCGCATTAGGCCAAGAGAGATTCGATGATGGTGACACCGCTTCTTTTGGCCTCTCTCTGTTTCTCCACTTGGTTTGCTGTCGGTGCTAGACTACAGTCTAGGTAGACACCGGACAAATCTTTATAACCAGAAAGAAAAACAGAAAACGTTTCAATGGATTTCAACATACCGTTCGCGAGTTAGATCAACCTCGGGGTACCGGGGCGGAGGAGCAGTACTAGTGGTAGTAGTGACTCGCTCGTCAAAGTGGACACTGACGTCGTTGGGGCGCGAGGAGTGCTTGTGGTGGTGGTGATGTTCGTGACGATGAGGCTCGGGCACCGAAGCAAACTGATCGCGCTCAACGAAGTGAAGGTCGATTTCTTCCTTTCCGTAGACACGCGGGTCGGGAAGAGGAGCAGAGGTTCGAGTATCTTCCCGTTCGACGTGCGAAGTGCGATCGAGATTGACTTCTTCCTCTACTCTGGCTGTGGCCGCGAGAGTAGCTTCAGGAACAGCGTCACTCCGGTACGACGACGGGAAGACACTGAAGGGGATGGGGACGCGGGCGTCAAAGTCCAGATTGGCTGTCCTGTCGGCGTCCTTTCTCGAATCCCTTTCGAACTGTTAAAAACAACTCGAAAGGCGAGACAAGAAAAGACTCTTAGGGAGAAGAGAAGTCTTTCTCGTAAAGAGATGGAAGGGGGTGGAGGGGAAGTTGATAGATCAAACTACCCGAGGAATGCGGAGAAGGTTCCTGATGAGGAATGTGAGATAAAAGATAAGCTTAAAAAGCTTGAGGGGATAGGAATGTGAGGGTAAGGGTAAGGGAAGAAGAGATGAAAGAGGATGGAGAAAGAAGAGAAGAAGAGGAGAAAGAGAAGAGGGAGGAGAAGGACAGAAGTGGAGGAGGAGGAGGAGGGGAACAAACCCGCTGAAATACAATTGCGGATGGTTTCCCTCGTCACGCGTTTTGTTTACCACACCTTGCCGTTTCTGGGGGCGATGTTATTCCCAGACATCCCCAATCATCCCTATCTAATCAGCTTCTAACCCACTCCAATTGACTTTCTAGTCCCTTCCTCCTACTTTGCCCTGTTCATCCGGACTCCATACTATCAAATCTACAATCGAAGAGGCAGGTGGGTGGGTGGGTGGGCAAGGGAACGACCCGAGGTTCAGTTCAGAAATTCGCCTACAAACCACGGTTCCTGAATCTGCAACTCAAACTTACTCTAGTTCACCTCCCACACTTATCTCGACCACGCTGATCTATATAGGGAATTTATCCTCCCAAATCAAGCCCAACCAGCGCTAATAACCTTGATCCACCGCGCAGTTGATTGATCAATTCTTCCCTCATCGTTCACATGCAGGCCGACCCTGCTCTATCCTCCCAACGCACACACCACGAGGCTGGCCAGCCACCTCCGGGTCCCCATGGCAACTGGGCCGGTTTCCCCGGGTCGCATCGGAAATCCGAGCTCCCTGGAGCTGGAGCTTCAGCCGATCGACGCTCAATGCGCTTGCCTGCTGCCAGCCCCTCTCTTTCTCTCTGGATCCTCCGTCCATCCCGCGCTCGTTCTCAGACAATCGCAACAACCGAGGAAACAAAACGAGAAAAATGAAACATCCATGCAATAAAGTAAGCCGGAGGCTGGGGTCTGGTGTGTTCTCGCTCCGACTATTCCATCGTCAAATGTTTCCTGTCAGCAAGAGCGCAGCTCCGTTGATTATGTATCACAATCAGTGGTTGTGTCCATGTGTACGATCAGGCTTACAAGCAGCAACCTGCCTGCAGCATGATGTTTCTTCAAACGCCGTGGCCCTGCCCACAGTTGGCCGGACCATGATCCATTTACCGGATCTATTCGTGGTGTCCGGCCATTGGAGAGCTGAGCGCTGAGCAGGCACCTCGGTCCCCGTTGCCTCTGGGGGGAGTGCCCAGCTTGCTGCTGATCGCACTTGGATGTGGACCCGACCGGGGAGGGGGGGTGGAAGGGGCCATTCAACGGCCCAGCCATTCATGATCCATGATCCATCAATCCAGCCAGCCAATTCCCAGCCTCATTTCGGTTACATTTGGCTTCCAGCCCGTCACATTGGTGCATTGGCGCTGACTATTCTTAACTCTCTTCAAGAGCGAGATACACATGTAGCAATGGTCAGTCAGCGCACAGCTGGTTGTTTCGGGTGGAAAGCTAGTCTCGATGTCTCGAGTCTGGACAGATCCACCTTGTTCCCGTTTGGTGTAGGATTTCCTTGGTTGCCAGCTTTCTGGTTGTGGTCGGTGCCGGTCGGGTAGCTGACACGGGTAAACTCCATAACATGTAGATACTGGATCACGGTGCCAGCGATCGCAGTGGAGTCTTTTGGCATTCGTCACCATGCGTGTGTCGTGAGCATGGCACATTGGCAACTAACGATGCGGTTCGGATACTCTGAATGGACGGTAGAGGCTTAGAGTCTGGAATTGACAGATCATATGTAAATGCACTGTACTTGACTCCGACTTGGTGTAGGGATGGCACTGTTGTCCGGTCTGGCCCTCGTGCGCCCGAAGCTGTGTCTTTCAGCCGATATTATCGACCCCACGAGCAACAGCAGCCAGTGAGTCTTCATCTACAGTCACCAGTGCATATATCCAAGCTCACCTCAGTATGGATACGATGTGCTCGCCACCTCTGTAATGAGAACGAAGGTACAATGCGGCCAGCCCAGGCTGACGGGACTCGGGAGGAAACAGGCGCTTCCAGATCAGGCCTAGCGCGACTTCATATACCTCCGTTTCCCTAAGCAGTACGAACAAGCATCCACGATGCATGATACTACGTGAATATGGATGGCCCTTTGGAGACCATAAACGGTATTCAGGATTGTAGATTTGAAGATCTAAGGTGGTATGAAAGATTTGTCACTCGCTTGTATTCATCACTCGCTTGCGGATTACGTTAGCTCATTACCCCGCATGAGAACTGCGTTGGAATTCTGGATGCCCAAAAGAATCCCTCATCAATTCATCACGTATTGATCTCTATCAATTTAGAGTGACATGTCTCACCGCACGATGGATTCTAACCTCAGAAAAGCATGCTGAGCATGATTCCATTCGGGGTGCTCATCCAGAAGCAAGCAGCCCGAAGCTTGCATCACAAAGCCAGGAGTCGACCCTATGCGACCTGATGGATACCACCGACCCCGCCAAAGACACCTCCCACACCCACGGACAGACCTCTATAGAAGAAGATCACACCTCCCGCAGAAACCCTCACGAAAGCAGCCCCTCGCTGGGGAGTCCACACTCTCCGGTGCCCCCCGAGTACCGTTCCGTGACCAGCAGCCACACGGGTATGGATAGTCGACATCTAGATATTGAACCCGTCCCATGTCCTCTATTCACTGAGCCAGAAATCTATTACAATGTCACAATAGGAAGCAAGGATGTTGTCCAGCCCAGATTTGATGCGTCAATTCGCAAAGGTTTCTTTCAGGACAACAATGGCCGATGGACGGGGTATCGCCGTAACTATTTCTCAGTCTCATGTGTCGTTTACGTGCCGACCGCTATAGACGATGGGCTGTTTATACAGCCCAATGGAGCAGACGCCAAGCGAATACAGGGCTTCTCCGTGACGATTTCGGCGATTAGCCACGGTAAGGATGGGGAAGTGGCTCAAGAATTAATACAGCATACCCCCAGAAGGGATAAGCCGTCTGAGAGAAGACCACAAAGGCTACCTTTGTTCCCCTTCATACCAGATACAACAGATAGAGAGAGAGCAGGCCGATCCGATCACACAAGCATTCCCCGCAGCAACACACTGCAGAGCAATGAGACAGGCGAAGCCCGACCGGTGTTTCATACATTCGAGCGCGTACGGTTTCAAAAGGCCGCGGCAAACAACGGCAAAAGGCGCGCAGCGCAACAATACTATAATCTCATCGTTGAGCTTCATGTGCAAGTTTCAAGTGGGGGGAATGAGCGAGACCTGCAATGGCTGAGAATCGCTAGGAGGACTTCAGAACCATTGATCATACGTGGTCGATCTCCGGGGCATACAAGGACGTACGGAAGGACATGTCTGCTCCTATGGACGATTCCAGTGGCTTCAGACAGGAAATAGATCATTGTAGGGCATCGAATCTGTTCAATCTTGTCCTTGAACGCGGTGAGTGGCACAAAGACTTTAAGATTCCAACTGAAGAGAGCACTAAGGAATTGGACTTGAATCCGATTCTCGATCCTGACCGGTATTACGGAAGACTCGAGGGCCTGGAATGGGAAATCGCCCAAAATTGCCCCCTTATCCTGCTTGCCATGCCCTTATCAACAACACCATGGCCCGAGCTCCTCGCGTTCCTGATGAAAATACTGAGCAATGCGAAGGGAGGACTGCGATTGATGGAGAACATAGGGTTCGCGGGAAAGGGATATAGTATCCTCGTCGAACCGCCAGATGATAGAGAATCTGTTAAGGTCATACCCTGTGGTAGTAATGTCCTGGACACTCTTCACGACACTCTTGCTTTAGGCCTCGGCCTGTCAGAGCCGGCCCCAGAGCATTTATCTGAGAGTAGAGTGGCCGCACAATCTTCACCGGATTCGGTATCGAATGTTGCTCCGCTACTTCACACGCTGACATTGTCGTTCAATTTAATTCCTTGATCCCTATGCTTGGCATAGGTCTGGTATCTTACTCCGGATCACACGCCTCCGCCTTTTACGAGAAGTACTTGGACTCGGAAATAGAATTCCAATTTCCCATGTCAGAAGGTGCTGGCGATGATTTCATTTCGCTCCGCCGGGTTCGTCTGAGCTGTCTTCATGAATACATTGGAGGGCCAGTCTGGGTGTTCTGCCGGGGAAACGCCGAGATGACGCGCGAAAGAACATTGGTGACTTCAGTCGAATCGATGGCTGATCTATGGGGCCCATTGAGAAGATCCTATTCGCGCGAAGGATTGATTGGGCAAATCGAACTCGAACGAGGTACTATAGTGGATCTGAGACCCGAGGCAGGCAAAGAAGAAACCGTCAGTTGTCATTGGTTTAAGTTGGGCGAGCAGCTACCCGAGTCCTCTTTTCCTTTCAAGGACACAGCAGTACTTGCCATCGGGTCATCATCTGTCATATCTTCTACTCATACCATGGCGACGGCGCAATGCCATGTGGGCTTGGACTACCGGGGGCTCGGGCCAAAACTGCGGGAAACGAGTGAGTTCACATTCCTTGGGGTTGAACGGCCGAATTGGGCAGCCGATACAGAAAGTGCAAATGTGGGATTCTCCAAGTTCGTCAATATGAGTGCTGGGGTGAGTTTCAAGGGGATGCCGGGGCGGTCAATGAAATCCGTGCTCTTGTTCCTATGGCAGGATGACTATCCGGATCCGCAGACGCTCCAAGTGAGAATAGGACTGGAGATTAGTGCAAGGACAGGAAATGCACTCCGAGTGCCTCTATCGAAATTGTTTCGGTTGGAAAACATTCAAAATTCCGTGAAGCGCGTTTTCCCGGACCAGTTGTCTCGGCCGACGGACACAAAATCCTTCCAAGACGCATTCACTCATGATTTCCATGGGTTCTTGGAGATGTGGTCTGCCGATGCTGAAAATTCGTTCCTCTGCGAGAGCCATCATAAGGAATATTCTATCCAACCTACAACATACAGGACCAGCCGGAGGAGGCGATCTCCGCGCCTGGTATGTCGAGAGCGGTGGATGCTTGCAAATCCGAAAATGTGACCGACACCCCTGGCTTGCGCTATTGCAAGAATCCGAGTATATGGCGTCAGTTGCTGTCATAAGTCCACGGCACATCCACTCCTCTGGACGCCACTGACCTTTGCCGCCGCGGCCGGTCACCTGGAGATCGTGCGGTGTTTGCTTCAGCAGCCGGGCCGCGGGGTGGATGTGAATGCCCGGGATCGGAACGGCGCGACCCCGCTCATGTGGGCGGCGCGGCGCGGCGTCGCACACGTGGTGGAGGTCTTGCTCCGTCGAGACGACATCGATGTGGCTTGCGAGGATGAGGACGGCCGCACGGCAGTGATCTGGGCGAAGGAGCATGGCCATCGAGACCTTGTGCCGTTGTTTCATGCGTTTACAAGGAGACCCGAGTTGGCTGGAATTGGCGGCCGGGGCAGATTGGGATTGCCTTGTCCACTGAGAACTGCCTATTACTAGAGCAGTAATAAATTCTGAACGGTCATCAGCGGCGCAGAGTGATTGTAGCGGGTATACATTCTACAAACATAACCTAAATTTGCTCTTTTAGATAGAAAGCTTGTTGGTGCTCTCGAGTAGATCAACAATTCAACTGGGGGCCGAGGACGATGATGATAAGAATCCATACGCTGGCCCCTCGCCGTAGGCGATCTGGAGGTATCCACATATCTCTAGTCTCTACACACATCTATTTCTTCTATACTATTTCTTCCTCAGGAAACTTGGAGCCTCATCAAGGCCTATATAGGCTAGCATCTAGGGCTGTATCTTACTCGTAGAATTGTTATAATACATGGTTCCGAAATCTCTAGAATACCTTTATGAACTCTAGTACTATAGTATACTAACACTGCCGGTATCTTATAGAAAATATCTTGTGCTTGGTAGTTTTTTTTTTATGTCTATTAATTAGAAGTACATACAGTAACTGTCAGTACCTCCATGTTCTCTCCACATCAGCAACAACAGAGCACCTTAGTACCGCAACTCACGCAACTTCTCACCACTTCTCAATAGACCTAATCCTGAGTATCTAGTAGAATGAACCCCCAAACCCCCCTCTCTCAGCTCCCCAATAGCCTCATTCCCAAGTACTAGAACAACCCATCCCGGGGGAGAACCCCCGGACCCCCCTTCCTTTCAACTCCCCAGTAACAAACTACCCCACAACCCCGGCAACCAACTCCGCCGCCCGCTCCGCAATAGCATACAACGCAACCTGATAATGCCCCGCCACCGACAACGGCAAAACGCTCGCATCAACGACCCTCAGCCCGCGCACCCCACACACCCTCAACTCCGAATCGACCACCTTCCCCATCGCCGCCGACCCCGCCGGATGATAGAACGTCATACCGCCCTTCCGAACAGCCTCATCGATTTCCGCATCCGAGGCATCGACCCCCAGCGGCCGCAGCAACCCCGGCCTCACGACCTCCCCCACCACCATCTCTTTCCCCGGCGGCGTATCCAGCATCAACCGATTCACCTGCCGGATCCCCGCGCGCAGCGTGACGCGATCCACCTCCGTGGCGTAGTAATTCGGATCAATAACGGGCGCAGCGGCGGGGTCCGCCGAGGCGAGGGTGATGGTTCCGCGGGAGGAGGGCGCGATGCCCAGCACGGCGGTCGCGATATGCGAGCCGTCAATGGGGACGTCCACGCCGGAGACGGCGGCGCCGGCGGGCGCGTAGACGACGAGTGTTTCGAGGTGGTCGAAGTCTTTGGACAGATAGGGGTGATGCTCGAGGTCAGTGGGGCTGGTGACGCCGTCGGCTTGCAATGCGGCGCGGAGGGCGTCGGGCGGCGCTTGGAGAGTCGCGACCCAGTCGCACGGGAGACCCAGGCCGTAGGCGGGACTCTGCCACGCCGGGGTCCCCGCCGAGAGGCCCTGCTCCGGGTGCCGCAGCTGCCACCACTGGTTGAAGGCGAAGTGGTCGTGGAAGTTGCGGCCGACTTCGGGGGAGTCAACCGCGACGGAAATGCCGTGGTGCTGGAGGTGCTCCCGCGGGCCGATGCCTGACAGCATCAGGAGCTGCGGGGTGCGGTAGCCCCCGGCGGAGAGGATGACCTCGCGCCTGGCGTGGAAGGTCGTGCCGTCGGGGAGTTCGACGCCGACGGCAGTTTTGCTGCTGCTGCTGCTGCTGCCCCGGGAAGAAGGGGAGTTAGGGCTGAGACTGTCCGAGAGCAGCACCCGCTTGACCAACGTGTTCGTCCGGACGGTGATGTTGGCCCGCCGCGTGACCCCGTACGCTTCGCTGGCGATCTGGCGGCGGCCCGCGCGCCAGTTCTCCGTCAGCTCGGCCAGACCCAGCGGATGGCCGGCGTTGGCGTCCCCCAGAGCCACAGGGCCGACGCCCAGCTGGGCCCAGGCAGCGCGCACCGGCTCGCGCAGCGGGTAAGTCCGGTCGGGGCTGCTGGAGGAGACGGTGGCGTTGTGGATGGGGCCGGCCCGCCCGTGGACGGCAGGGTCGGCGTGGCGGTCCCAGTGCGTCTCGGCCCGCTGGAAGTACGGCAGCAGGCTTTGGTAGCTCCAGCCCTCGTCGTCGACCATGCGCGCCAGCAGGTCGTATTTGGCGGCGCTGCCGCGCGTCCACGTGCCGTAGTTGATGGCGGTGCCGCCGCCCAGGGCTTTGCCGGCACTGTTGTAGCAGGTGCGCCCGTCCAGGTGCGTCTGCGGCACCGTGGTGTAGGCCCAGTCCAGCGGGCTGAAGTGTGCACCGAAGCAGGCCAGCGGCGCACTCGTCAGGGGATGGCCCACGACATTGGGGCCGGCTTCCAGGAGGAGGATGGTTCGGGAGGGATGGAGTTCGGATAGGCGGCCGGCGAGAGTCGAGCCGGCTAAGCCGCCGCCGACGATGATGTAGTCGTAGGTAGCCATGAGGACTGATGAAGTTGAGGTTGTGGAATGATATTCATTTTCAAGAGAGGTGATTCAGGCCGTTCTTATAGTAAAGTATCACCCGGTTTCTTTGTGCTCGGTACGGCTGGCATCAGAGCAAAAGATCTGCGTAAGCTTAAGGCTGGCTTAGTATAGAGTATGAGCGCGAGCTTGCTGATTGGTTCATTCGTGTAGATTTCATCTGTCAGTGCAAAGTATATATCACGTGACATGCCGTCTTCCGAGTTGCTCCACGGCCACGCTGACTGAGATGGGTGTGAGTTCAGTTGAGCAAAACAGTGCCACATATAGCGTAGCCTTGTCCGACTTCTCTTCCTTCCTTTAGGAAAAAAAGTAGCTGTGCTACCCACACCAGCTGTCGCAGAACACCATAACCTGCCAAGCATTCTCCATTACCACCCGCAGCTCATGCAAAAATGAGCATCAAAACCAACAAAAAAGATGGAGCTGCGGGGAATCGAACCCCGGACCTCTCCCATGCTAAGGGAATATTATACCACTAAACCACAGCCCCTGTTGATGTCATCACAACACTTTTGTGGCTTTATGTTTCAACACCAAGTGATGAGACAGATGGTAGTGCAGCCCAGCGGAAGTCTTGGTCCGATTACATGTCCACTCCACTCGGACTTTACAGCCCTATGAGCTGCTGATGTATATGTGCATGTCGAAACATAGCCTTGCCCTCTGAGCGGTCAGTCTGCGTTCGATGCTGTGGGCGTCTCGGTCTGGAGCATCGAATACATTACCTAAAAACACGTAGACTGGGAAACGGAGCAGAAGGCATGTCGTTCACCTCAGTTCGAAGGTATGATGCAGCCGTCATCACTTACTGAATCGCCTGCAGGCAGTATTCTCGCTCCCGACTAATCCGTTGGAAGCTTCCATAGTACGCCTGTTCAACAGCATCGACAACCCAGCGGCAGGATCAGACTCAATCTCCGGGACCTGGGCCACTTGCCAGCTCGTGTCGAGGAATCATCATGAACCGACTCACACCCACTAGGCTTTTGCGGAGTCTAGAAGAAGCCGCGATATAGAGAAGGTGCTTATTGCGTTCCTTGGCAGGGTCCATAGATCCCCAGCACAGATGCAGACGAGAAAGCCCCCGCCCGCAGCAGAGGGCCGGAGTCAGACCGCTCAAAAGTATAACTAATTTAGTTGCTGACCCTGAACGTTGGTCAAATCAAGCGGTAAGTGGGGGGATCCTGCCGAAGACCTCGTGAAGATGGATCTCGCTTAGGGCTCTCGGAGCATGAAACGGGGCGTGGCATGAGCAGTCTGCTAGGCGGGGCAATAAGTAAGCTATCTCAGATCGAGGAGAAAGGTGGCTAGAGACACGAATCAGTACCTCTCAAACGGATATTCCAGACTTTCGTTTGCTGCCTGGAAAACTTACAGGCTAAACGTAAGTCGAAACAAGGTTCATATCCATGATAGGTGGTGGTGACTGCACGGAGGCTGGAGACGGTCCTAAAGCCCGAGAATCCCTGCCCGATCCCCTCACCAGAACCCCCGCTGAGTAGCCGATTACCCTCCGAGGTCAAGTACCAACTATAGAACAACAGATGTGCAACATAAAGACTGAGCAAGCTCCATCAGAATCTACTATCCATCACTCTCAAATACGGCCACTCCTTCTTTATCTATCCCTTCTCAATCCCAGCTTCCTTGAATATGTCCCCGCCTTGGCGCCCCGGAAAACGAGTGGCCATCGCCGGCGGAGGCCCCGGAGCCATCTCCACGGGGCTAGCCTTTCTCCAACGGGGGTACGATGTGCGCATTTTCGAGAAACAGCGCACGTGCCAGGCAATCGGCGGCGCGGTGCTGCTCTCCATCCCCGTGCTCGCCATCCTCCGCGCCTACGGGCTGACCTCGGATAATTTTGGGTCGTACACGCGGACGACCTTCGCCAACAAATGGGGCAAGGCACGGGTCCAGCTGCCCTTCAACGCCGAGGTCGAGCGACGCATGGGCATCCAAGGCTGGCAGTACGGAGTGTTGCGGTCGACCATCTTCGCGAAGATGCTGGGACTGGTCCCGGAAGGCGTTATCTACACGGATCATGAGGTGACCGGATATGAGGAGAAGCAGCAAGCCAGTGGGGAAGAAGACACCGGGGTACAGATCCGGTTCAAGAATGGCAGCACCATGATGACAGATATCCTGGTCGCGGCGGATGGCATTCGGTCGACAGTGTCGCGGCAGGCCTTTGGCGAGCCCGGGCTCTTCCACACAGGCATCCGGGTCTGGCTTGCGTGGTGCGATCAGATCCCCGGGATCCCGGCCCACCACGGGGTGATCTCCCACGACTGGCAGTACCAGGCCAGCTTCTTTCCCATGATGCGCGAAGGCAACCGACCCGGATTTGAGTGGTGGGTGGTTGAGCCCTCCTACGAGGGCAAACCGGCGCCGGCAGACCCGCGGGCGCATCTGGCCGCGATTCTCCAGGACTGGGCACAGCCGATGCCGCGACTCCTCGAGGCGACCGATTTCAGCTCCCAGGTCTACCGATGGGAGGTCTATAACCGGCCATCCTTGCAGAAATGGTCGACTGGGAGAGTGGTCGGCGTGGGCGATGCAGTGCACCCGGTATCACCGTATGCCGCATATGGGATGGGGATGGCGATCGAGGATGGCTACTACCTCGCCCGCGCCTTCGACGGAGTCGACCTGCGCGATCGCCAAAACGTCGCTGCTGGATTTGAGGTGTATGAGCAGCAGCGCGTGGATTACGCGAACCATCACATGGAATTCGCCCGCTTCTCGGGGTCCATGTTCCACCGTCTGCCCTGGCCTTTGGCCAAGGTGCGGGACCTGATCTTTGATTACACCCCTGTGTTGGGCATTTTGTTGAAAAAGGACTATCTCCAGCGAGCCGAGGAGGAGACAATGAACTTGCGAGAGCTGCAGGTTGTGTGAGGAAACGGAGGGATCCATGGATCTGGCGGGGGGGGAGGGAAGGAGGAGATTAGTTGGGCTGCAGTTAGTCTGGTCGAGGCGATTTCGCCGGCGGTACACTCCCGACCTTCCCCTTCGGGCAATTTCACTCCGTGGCTTGACTCCGAGTCACGTTCATGTTCACGTTCACGTCCACGTCCACCTTCACAATCACTGTCACTTTCACTTTCACTTTCAGGTTCACAGCCCCCACAGCCAAGCCAAGCAGGCCAAGAAGATTAGCATTGAAGGAAGACCATGTGGCTCTCGTCACGAAGAAATCAATCCAAGGCTGAAGTCTGCTCAACTCAAGATGATTATTCGGATCCAAGTGTCAAAGGCTCCCTCAAAGCATGTGATAGTTAATTGTGTCATATGGAAGGCAGCCCAGAACACTCAAAGATAGAACGGGACAGCAAGAGTAGAGGAAGGCACTTAGAAGTTAGAAGGGAGTAGATATTCAGTTGAGGAGAAGGATTTGCTTCATCGGATCGGCATACGCTTAGCGGGCTTTTTAGCGGCTCTTAGCGTGAACAACGAATTGGTGGTGAGTGGTCAGATAAGGCAGGCGGGGTTGCAAGAGTTCCGTTAGCATTAGCAATGACTCCAATGAGTCTTTAATTGGGGATGGTTAATAATAACTTGTCACTAGTTCACTGACCTAACCTTGAACTCAGCTTAGCCAGACCCTTGCGGCTGCCTGACACTTTGACACCCTCACACCCTCAGGGCAACCCCCGTCATCCTGAATGCACATAGGTTGACGAGATTGTCACAGTTATCGAATTTGAACGAACGGGAGGTAAGCTTACGGGGCGAAATGTATACTTCGTATTCTGGAAGTGTGGCAGAATATTCCACATGGCCAAAGTTAAGATTATGACATCTCAGCAGTGGAGGTGACGGTGGGCCAGAGAGCGATCAGATAGGGTCAGACCGGTTTAGGTAAAGCTTCACAGCCTTAGAGTACGCGAGACAGGCGAGGCGAGACAACGGCCCCCGGGGGGGGGAAGGAAGGGTTCAGTTCCCTAAAATGACCCTAGACTAGTCATTGGCCGCTCATTTCGGACACTTGGCGCAAAGATTCACCCCAATTCCCGACTCCGTGGATTTTAAATCCAAGCGTAACCCCCTCCCATCGAACATCCTGTCGAGTCCCACTGCCTCACCATGTTGCTTTCCAAACGCAAGCCACACAGAAAACGATCCTCAACCGGATGTCGCACCTGCCGGTACGTATCCATGCCCCGGCCTTCAGTAAAACAACAACAACCACCAAAAACAGATATACAAAACTCAACACACAAAAGAATACTCACTCAACGCTTCTCGGCAGGTTGCGTCGCATTAAATGCGATGAAGCGCCCGATGCCTGCACCAACTGCGTGTCCACAGGTCGTACCTGCGATGGATACGAAGCCCACCGGCTTCCCCGAGCGTGTGGTCCTCAATACAAACAATTGAAACGGGCGGTAGCTGTAGCACACCCAGCACTCACTCAGGTAGCATTCGGGCTGCAGTGGGCCGTGACCTCGGACGAGGGTCGATGTTTGTCGTTCTTCCAGCATCAATCCGTGCAGAACATGGTCGGATTCTATGATTCGTCGCTCTGGCACCGTCTTATCCTCCGCCTGAGTTACACAGAACCGGCTGTATATCATGCTGCCATCGCCCTGGGGGCCATCAATAATGCCCAAGACAAGAACAAGGTTGTGCGACCCGGTCAGAAGCTGCAGAGCATCTGGTACTGGTTTGGACTAGAGCAGGCGGGACGCTCGATATCCCTGTTGAACAAACGACACTTTTCGCAGGATCCTCAATTCCAGGAGGTGGTGTTAGTCTGCTGTCTCTTGTTTATCGCCTGCGAGATGCTCTGCGGTAATTACGACAACGCATGTGCACATGTCCAAGGCGGTCTGCAGGTTTTGCAGAAGCTGAACATACGAAGGAAGATCTCGGGTGAATTCATCTCACCCGTGGATCCATGCATAGTAGAGACCTTCCTGCAGCTCCAGGCGCAATCCGTCTTCTACGGGACTGGTGTGCACTTCCATGTTGACAGTGACCTGGTATCTGTACACCCGTATGAGGACTACCTTGGCACATTTCAGCGTTTGCAAGATGCAAGACGAGTTTGCGACCCACTCTTGAACACTGGGTGGCCTTTCGCGGCACGCAGCTGGAAACTGTCAGAAGCCGAGATCATGGCGGACTATGCCATTTTGCATCAAGAACAGCTTTTTCTCCTCTCTTCCATGAGCCGATTTCTGTGCCGATTAGACTGGCTGACGCGTCAGTCATATAGCCAATTGAGTGACAAAGAACAGCGCGAGACAGACATGACCACAGTAAACTGCTTCGCCTTGAACTTCGCGCTCAAGACCTCTCTTTTGAGCAGGAACACACCCTTGTCCCCAGAACTTGCCCAGGAAAGCGAAGATCTGGTTTCCCTGACCGAGTCCGCGATTCAGAAGCTTCGGGATTATCCAATCATCACGTTGGATAGTCCCATCGTTCCAGCGTTGTACAATGCAGCAGCAAGAACCCCAGACTATTCCGTTCGAGTAAAGGCAATAACTCTGATGAGGGTATGGCAGCATGTAGAGGGCTTCGCAAACACTGCGTTAGTCGCTGACATACTTGAGGAGGGTCTCAAGATCGCCTTGAGAAAACTGAGACGAGAGATGATCGCGACGTCCTGTGCATTGCCTACCGGCTTGATGTTCGTCCCTGCCACAGATGGGCAGACCTTTGTACGCATAGGGTACAAGATGTTTGGTGCCGAGCACGAACAGTGGCTAAGCCTCGAAAAGAGTCCCGCTCTCTTTGACGCTCTACCGTTCATACAATCTGCCAGTCAATGGTCATGTTTGCGGTCTCTTGGGATTGTCAAAAGTGCTGGAGCATAGAAGTGGCGTATCAACAAGATGATGGAGTTAGAATATACATCGACAGAACAAGTCGAGTGACGCATGATGATACCGTACTAGGACAATTCACCGAAAGATAGACGGCAACAGGTCTGTGCTAGCTACAGAGTAGATCCTCACAAGCGCTCGGTACAGGCTTAGCGTTGGGTAACGGGTCGTGTACTTGGCCAACTCGATTTTCTATTTTTCTTCTGATGCAGACTTGTGAATCGCGAGTCCAGGTAGGATCAAGTCCTGGGGTCATTGACGGTAGCTTAGCGGGGTGCACAGGTTTATAGAAATCGTTGACAAATGGTCTTAGATCTTCAAATGCTATTTTCCATTATCAGTTTGAATCCGGATCAATGTTGCTTGTGGCGCCAGATCCCCTCCCCTCCCCTACCATCCCTTCTTTACTTGGATTTATGCACGGCGGTTGAGACAATGACAGCCACGCCACAGGCACTAATGCGCAAGTGTAGTGAGGTGGTGTTGGTGTGGAAGACGCAGATTGGACATACAAAAGTACTGTGGCCTGAGCCTGCATTAGTTTGTGTTGCACTTTTCCAGGTCCTCACCGCTGCAGGAAATCGAGGTTGGGAGATGCCGTCCCACACAGATTTCCAGCCCTTAAGTCAAAATTACAGCAATTCCTGGCCCCATGCAACAACATGTTGTCTGCTGAGAATGGCATCGAAGAACCTGGGCAGATTTGTCTAGCATGCGAGCTGTGGAGAGCCACGGCTTGGCAATTAGAGTGGCAGGCTTCCAAGCAGGAAGTGTGGACGAGAAGGACTTTTTGAAGAACTTGTATTAACCACTGCGAGGATTCGCAACAGGGTGGCGTGTTTTGGATGCCTACAACAGGCCCCGCGACGAATGTTTTTTCATTCCCGAAGTCAACACTGGCGATTGCAGGACGTTCTCCCAGTCATGAACCAACTCCGTATTCAAGGTACTCAGCCTGACTTCACCGCCAGCTCGAGCAATCATTTCGTCCTCGTACTCCGTGACTGCAGTAGATTGGGTTTCTACTCCTGATACAAATCGTTGAATGGCCTCAACTAGGCAGGCTGCATCTGTGATGGAGTGGTTCAAGCCTTGGCCGCGCTGATACGTCATCGCATGTGCGGCATCGCCAGCAAGTGTGACTCGTCCATCGTGATTATCCCAACGATGGTCCTGAGCGCCCGGATCGAAATCCGTTAAGCCCATGTACCATACTTCGTGGTCATCGTCCAACCATTGAAAAGCGCTCTTCCAAGGGTCCGCAAATTGCCTGGCAAATTCTTTAACTTGCGTCAATCTTTGAGCGTTGGACCAGCCGGCTGTCCTCTCCTGCTCCTGATAAGTTGACTGCCACGAGATATAGAAGAAAAATTTCCATGATTCAGGTTGATCGGGATCTTCCACCTCATGCATTCCGAAGAAGGCAAATTGTCCGGCTGGATTGATTCCTGCTAGGTATAGAGGATGGAATTGCCGCAAGAAGCGAGCCTGCTCCGCGCTGAAGCGTGCTTGTACGAATGTTGCACAGTAGGGAAGCGGGCGGATTTGCCCTGTCTGTGGGAGCATTAATTGACGGATAGTCGACCGAGCTCCATCGGCTCCTATAACAATCTTCGCTGTGAGGCATGTTTCATCGATCAATCGTGCGGTGGCATATTGACCATCCTTGGAGAAGTTGATCCCCTTGACCCGCTTATCGTATCGGACGTCCAGGCCGGTTGCCAGCAATTCCCGTAGTTTACGGCGACGCAGTCGGTTGAAGAACGGAGCAGGAATAGAGGCCATATTCTCCCCTGTCGATCCATTGATGAAATTGAGCGCATCGCTCTTGCTTGGAGAGATGCTTGGATCTACCTGCACGGACTGTATCCGCTTCCACAGCTCGTCCGGGACAAGATTTCTCAAGGACTCAGCACCCCAATGCAACCCCATATTCCAATCTCTAGGGTGAGAGCCAATGCTAGACTGTTTCTCTAACACGACGCAAGGTATATGAGCCTGATGACATGCTTAGCTTGAGCCCGGATAGGTGGGTTTGCAGGTATGTTTTGTGGGAGGTTTGCTACCTTTTTCAAACCTTGGGCCAGGGCAAGTCCAGTCGACCCTGAGAGTAAGAGGATTAGCTCCCATTGCTCGATTCGCCGACTCAATTCCGGTGTGTCGGCCTGAGGTTAAGCTGTCGAGGTAGCCTTACCTGCACCGACAATCAAAACTGTAGTAGTGAGTTTTGGCTCAGACGTGGTCGCCTCCCCGAGCCTAGCCCCTAAGAGCGTCCGGAGCCATTGCACTATACCCATGTTCCAAAGGAAGTAGTCTGAGACAATGCGCACACGTTGGCCAGCGGAAAATAAGAAGAGCAGCGAGAGGCGCCAGCTTATAATTCTCGATAGGCAGATGCAAAGTTTGAGAAGCGGCCCAAGAAGAAGGGCATTGTCCAGCTGTTATTGCAGCAATCGATCTCCCGGTGCAGCAGCCATTCGTCAGCTAAGAAGTGCCCGGGTTCCCGTCTCCGGTGGAGAACAGGAAAGGACTCTTGCCTGATAGAGGGAAGACATATTATCCAGTGAAGGAACACCTTCAGTCAGATTACTGAATGCAGCTAGGAGGGCCATGGGCGCGGAAGGGCTCTGACGGACTGTCCGTCATGAAGGAGGCAACGCCTTCCCCTATACGAGCGTCAGAGCGTCCAGCTGATTCATGGTTCAGGAAATTTTGGCATCGATTCTCTCGTTCTCCGTTTGGACCACTGATAAGCGGGAACGTCATCGCGGTGGGCTGCCATGCTTTTTGCCGATGCTCGAGTGTCTGACCCTCGGACTCACCCCCGCATCTCTCATTGCACCATCGGACGATGCACAAGGAGTCGGGATGACACGGGATGGCTGCAGATGCAGGCCATGAATTGGGAACGAAATGGATTGAGGGGGGAAACACTTGCGTCGAAATGGCTTAAAGCTTGCAGTGAAACGTGGGATCGGGGTGAAATTGTACCAGAACTTCTTCAGAACTTCAAAAGAAGGCCGTTGACCAACCGGTTGGAACGAAAAGTGGGTTCAGAATGGAGCCGTTTTAGGTTCCACGGCAAATCCAAGACATGTGCCGGGTCAGAAGTGCGGGACAGGCTAGGTATGATGAGTGGTCTAGGGGATGTGGAAATATGCACATCACCACTAAGTTATCGTTTATCACCATTGATGATCGTTCATCAATTAGTCTACCCTGACCCGAGTCAATGGCGCGGTGCGAGAAATCAGGAATCCCGGTCGGAGAAGGTCAAATTCGGGCAAGTTGGGAATTCAATTCTTCAGGCTAGTCAGCACTAACTTCCACTAATGGGGGACCACTAACCTGATTGGGCGGTTAGTGATTACTTAGTGGGATATAAAGTTGGGTTGAATATTGATAAACGGGATCATCCTTGTCACCGAGTGGTTGAGTGAGCAATGGAGCATAAAGGGGATGAGTTGTCTTTTCTTGGGAGGGAGGTTGAAGTACGGAGTACGGAGTAGAAGGACAGGACAGATGTGGAAGGGGAAGTGGAAGGAGAAAGGAGGAATGGACCAAGCCTGGAAGTTCAGGCCACTAAGTTACTCCGTACCCTCTCATCCAACTCCTTTCAGTGAGCTGCACTGAATTGTACATCCAACACATACTCTGTACAATAACTACATTACTAGGTAGCGACACTGTCAATAGCACCTTCCCAATTGACTCTCTCATCCCTGGAAATCAACCAGGAAACTCAATCATGCTCGAATCATCCAATCACACACTAGAAAGTGGACTCACCGCCCCTCCTTTGTATCATGTGATTAGCAGCAGAGCCTGAAGCATCTGGCCTTCATTACTGCAATCACTGCAATCACTGCAAATCACTCCTTCCATATCATGGATCCATCCATCCTATCCTTACTAAGTACGGATAGCAACTAGTCATGCACCCACCAACTGCGGCCTCTTGCTCCCTCTTCTTCTTCTTCTTCTTCTTCCTCTTCCTCCAACTCAAAATCCCTCCTCTAAATCTAATTTGATTCTTACTTCTACCTTTTACACATTCTTCTCCTGATGTGGGGAAGCAATGGTGGCAGCTCCAGATGACCCGTTTCTAATCTCACGCCTCTTTCTTCTCTTTCCTTTCCTTGACCCCTTCTAACCCACTGCAGAATCCCCAAGACTCAACTTGTCACCTCCTCCTCCTCCCTCCCCTTGTCATTTGCGCAAAGTATCCCCTCCCTCGTGGACTCGAACTATTCCTCTGCGTTGTCAACGTAGTCATTCCTCTCTGGCCGATTGGAATACTCTTCGTATGATTACCGGTTTCAAATATCTATAAATTCAACTATCCGTGGACCGCCCCTTGCCCCGGACGGAGTCGATCTCCGCAATCCGATCTGCTAGGCTCCTCCCTCCCGATCGCCGCCATGACCCCCCCATGTGAGGAAGATGATGGGCGTGCACCAACACACCCTTTTCTGCCCGAGAATACTCAACGCCATAACCCTTCCTCCGACCTGTCAGGCCATGCGACTGACGAAGAAATGGAGGACGATGACTCGGCTTATGGCGAGGATTCCCTGATCGGAGATGACACCGTCACCCTGTCCACCTATATCACCGACTACCGGTTCGAATACGGTCGACGGTACCATTCCTTTCGCGATGGCGCATACTGGGTAGGTTGGTCCGACCTCAGAGTGAACCGATCGCGCCCCGTTGCGGATTGACTGACCAATTGCGGCTGCGAGTGGCAGGGCCCGAACGATGACATTGCGAACGAACAACAAGACTTGGCCCATCATATGTACTTTCTGACCCTCGATGGGAAGCTCCACATGGCTCCCATTTGCAATCCGCAGGTACTGTCTGTCGTTACCTGAGTCACTTTTTTCTTGTGTGTATAACAAAAGAGCACCATCTGACTCGATTACCTACGCAGGAGATCCTCGACGTGGGAACGGGAACCGGCATTTGGGCAATGTGTGTTATGCGACCCAGAAGCTCTGTGGGAGGCAGTGACTGATGACGAGCTTATTCTAAACAGAGACATGGCGGATGAATACCCCAGCGCCAAAGTGACGGGGGTGGACCTTTCTCCTATCCAGCCGCTGTTCGTCCCACCGAATTGCGTCTTCGAGATTGACGATGTGACTCTGCCGTGGACCTACGATCCCAACCATTTTGATTTCATTCACGTGCGCGAGCTGTTCGGATGCATTCCTGACTGGGATGAATTTTTCCAGCAATGCTGGCGTTGCCTAAAACCCGGCGGGTACATAGAAGTCGTCGAGCACTCAGTCGAACCGATCGCGGACGACGATACCGTACCGGAGGACCATTTTTACCGCGTCTGGGGACAGACCGTACTCAACTCGGGGAACATGTCAGGCAAGACGTTCAACATCTGGGCCGAAAGTGCGACGCGACTGCGGCAGGCTGGATTTGTCGATGTGGTGGAGAGACGCTTTCAATGGCCCTTGAATGCGTATGTTTGACACCCCTTCCCAGAAAGTAAACCCCCGCGCTGATAAATCATTCCAGGTGGAGTTCCGATGCCAAGTTACACGAATTAGTGAGTAATACAAGCCTTGCATCCTCCGAAACTTGCTCACCTCTAGTCAGGGTCGCTGGAACCAACTGCGCCTCCACGCTGGAGTCGAGGGATTCATGCTCCGTCTCCTCACAACAACCCTCGAATGGTCCTACGAGCGCGCGCAGGTCTTCCTTGCGCAAATGCGCCAGTCCCTCCGCGATTTCGAAACGCATGCCTACCTCCCGGTGTCAGTCGTGTACGCTCGCAAGCCCAACTCGATAACCCATCCCTCTTCCTAGGGATTTTCCTTTTACTCATTTATCCCCTGCATTGCATCGTCCCAGACCCTTCAGTCCACTTATATCCCTTTCAGTGCAAGCGTTATACCCAAGTCTTATTCCTTCGAGCGATTTTCTTCTGTTATGACAGACATGTGGATGTGTACGGATCGGCTTTGTAGGGTTGTACCTTATCTATGTCATGGATTGAACTGGCCTGTTTGCAACGGTGTCGGAGATCTTGGATGCATTGGTATCAGCACTAACGTAATGTTTACAAAGCGTAGTCAGCTATCTTTCAATTGCGTTACTAGTAGCCGATAGCTGTTAGTTTGATATACCCGAAGTGTCACCTTTGATGCGAATATCCGAGTTGACCAGAGCGATAGTTCGCAAAATACGACCTTGGAACCAGGAACAAAGATCACACTACCTGTCGAAGTCTCATCTCATTCTCCACACTACAACCCCCGCAAATAAAAGAAACACAATTGTGAACCTCATGGTCCCATTTATCCATCCTCACGAGGACCACAGCCATCGCTGCGTACATAGTATTCAGTGTACCGACTGTACTAAAGCCCCATCCCTCCAGTCCATACTGGAGAACAAAGGCCTCGGAGGTGGAGGTTGCGAACTGGTTGCAATCTGGTTGCAAATCATTCAATCGTAACCAAGTTTGTAACATTTCCTCCGAGGATGAACCCAGGTCTCCTATGGATAGAAAATGAGTTTAGAATTCTTCAAAACCTATAGAGACATGTTCAGAAAAAGTCATCAAATAAGTGATCTAGTAAGTAAAGATGAGATAAAGATACTCGTATACCTTGCAGTAAGTATTTGATATTGCTTCCAACATTATTGGATTTTGTTCAAGAATCTATTACTGACTGATTGAACTGGTCGCTAACCAGTACTAACTAGGTTCCAAAACCAGTGTTATATCTTATCAGAACTTCGACCCTCTCTCTCTCCTAGCTATGGAAAGTCTCGACTTCGTCGGGTATGATTCAATCGATGGTTCAAGCCTGACTATATCAACATCGCTCATTCATTCTCTATTAGACTCTTTTTGTGAAGCCTTCAGGTTCGCAAATTCAGTATGTATTCGGAGCCAAATACCCCTGATGTGTGTGTGATATTACAACAGGCGGGGAGTTGTACAGGCTCATCAGTGAGGCTCGATGCTACTATCTTAGATTTGTCCTAGTATCATACTCTCCATATTTTACATTAATCCACACACAGGCAACCTGGTACAATTTGCACTCATTGCGTAGACTTAGCTGCCTTGCCCAAGTCACCCATCAATTGACAGAGCCCCTGGACCAGTGGAGGGAGTGATTCGTTTGAGGCATCCGCCCGCAGAAGCCCCTGCGCCACATCCATTGTCTGTCTCGGATCGGACACAAATGCAGGCCCCTGTGGCCCCTGTAAGGCCGGCGATCCACATCCCAGCGAAATGAATTTCTGCACCTCCGTCGTCTCTTCCCCGTCGAGGTAGGTGGTGGGAAATTGGTTATTCCGGGGGTTCAGGCCAAGCGACCGGCTGCCACCGGCCTGCCCGGTCGACTTCGCACTCTTGGCTTTGGAAACTACACTGTACGACCAGAAGGCCAGACTCGCGTAGTACACCCCAACGGCCAGGAACCCAGTCAGGGATCCGGGTGCCATGGCTTTAGCGGCGCGAATGACTTGACCCGCGTGCCACACGGCGCGCCGCGAGTCACTGCTCTCAATCCATTCGAGGGCGCTGTGGTACACCCGACGAGCCTCTCTTTTGTCTTCCTTGCCCGCAAAGAGCTGGAGTTCTTCGAGAGACATATACAAGAACATGGAGATCACTTCGTGGACCAGGAACACTTCCGGTCCAGGAAATTCAGACCATTCGTAACAGACCATGCGGAAGTGCTGCAGGGCCTGTGATAGCTCCTGGTGCCGGGAGCTAATCACCAACCCGTTCCAGTGCTTAGAACTTCCCTTGGAGATGAAACTGAAGCGGTGGTACTCCGTGACCATCGCTGCCAAGCCGTGCAAGACGACAAACCCAGCCAATTGTGAATCAACACGTGTTTGCAAGCGGGACATGTCTCTCATAGCATCGACCAGTGACGGTAGTCGCTCCCGGCCAGTCAATCCGGAGGCCAGGTAAACATCCCTCCACTCCGTCGACGACTTCGCTTCCCACAGGGACCGGATGGAAGGAAGAGGAAGTTCCAGCTCCGCGTACGAGACGAGAGGGTTGACATTCAGCATCAGCGCGGCTTGGGCATCATGTAGAAAGAGATGGTGTACCAGTCTAACCAGTCAGCAAAGCCTTTGAAACGCTATTCACAGGACCTACCGCTTGAATGATTCCAGCTCCGCCCAATCCCGCCACTTTTGTTCGAGTTCCTCCGGAGTATCTGCGAGACTAGGGACAATTACTGTGTAAACAGACCGTCGAAGTCTTAAGGCTCTTCTGAGCATCTGGAAAGTGTTAGCTTCAAACAGCGCCTCAGCATATAGCGAACAAACCGTTAGTAGAGGCTGTTGGAAACTCTCTGCAATCTCTGTCCTTCGACCGTTGCCGCTCCAAAGCCCAATATCTAGGACCAAGGCGAATGTTTGAGAGGCTCGCAGATCACGGGTCGTCCGGTTATCAGTTTCGTACTAGCTAGGTCAGCATCTCGCTCGAGGTACATTCTTCTTGCCAGAAGCATACCTTATCTGAGATCTGCAGCCGCACAATCTCCAGTAGTGCGTAGCCCAGTTTGCGGATAGTTGGAATAGTGGACCTTGTTGCTTCCGCGGCGGCGATTGCGGTAAGGGTGTCGGAGCTTTCTTCATTGATTCGGAATGTTGGACCGTGTATGTAGGAATCGACCTGCCGGCTTTGGTATGCAAAGTAATCCTGTATCAGTCCGTCCAGAAGCTCTGTACTCGGGAACGACTTCATGATCCGAAGGGGGTTGGCTTTCTGGCTGGCCTGCAGCACCATTCCAAAGATCAGATCGCGGCTCCCTGCCGACAGTCGTTCAGAGAGAACCCTCCGTTCGGTTCGAAGACTTGTATCGGGGCTGTCGATAGTCCTGGGAATAGCAAGGTCGCCTTGATGTGCAAATGCATTATCGCTCTGCGCAGGCTTCCACACGGACAGCGAGGAACGCTTATAAGCTTCAGCGCCTAGAGCAATTCCACTCTCCACATCCACCCGGTCATTGGGTGCCTCAGGAACGGGGGGCGCATGATGTGTGATCCCTTGGGAGTTGAAGTATTCGATGAGTCCAAAGTCTATTTCGGTGAGATCGAAGTTGAACGGTATGTTTTGGTCGTAGATCCCATAAGCATGCTCTTGGGTGTGATTCAACAACGGATCCAGATCCGGGCGTGACAGAGAGGTGATCAGAGAATCCGGGATAAATTCCGGGAAAAAAGTCCCATCGATGCTAAAGATACCACTTTCGTGGTCTAGACTGGGAGAGATTGCTAGCAGGCAGTCCGTCAGCTGACACCCATTTAAGCGAGGCGGGTCACGGTACCATCGTAGCTGGTGGTCAGTGGATCCTCGAGCGGAGCCGAGCCCGGTGCCTGAGGCAGGAAGTTGCTGACCGGGAAATCTGGCGTGGCGTACTGCGCGGTAGGGTCGATGGGTGGCGGTAACTCATTCATGATGGGTGCTGGGGAGGGAAAGACGCCTTGTGTTTGAGGGGTTTCGATGCACATTTCCGTCTCGTCAGGCTCATCGTACGCTGGTGGGAGTTCAGCCGGGGTGCCTGGCTGCTGCAGATCCAGTGCATAGCAGAGCAACGACAGACCTTGCGATGATGAACCGGGAGACATCTCGCCGGGATTTGTCTCCTGCCAGTCGCACTCCAGCTTCTTGTCTCGGCACCGTCGACAAGGTTTCTCCTCGTCGCACTTGAGCTTTGACGTTGCGCATGCTCGACAGGCTTGGGAGACACGGCCACTCTTGGCGAAGACTGGCGGCCGTTTTCTCTTGCCATCGCGGGGTTGATCATGGCCTGCGGCGTGACGTTTCATGAGATCCCTGGTTGGAGTCAGTAGATTGATTCCTCGATAAAAAAAAACAGTTGTGTCCACTTTGGGCCGACGAGCTTCTCGATCACTGGGAGCTCACGGAGTCCATGAGCTTGCAGCCAGAGGACAGAGGGCGACTTACGGTCTAGCGAAGCCTTTGTTGCAGACGTGACACACATAGGGCTTCTCTCGGGTATCTGCAGAGCAATTGGTCTCCGTCATGCGAGAGTTCGGATGGAAACGGACTTACGCGACCGAACATGGCGGATCAAATGGTCGGCACGGTTATAGTGTTTCTTGCAGAAACCACATTGAAAATAGCCATCGCGGGCTTTTTGGCTTGACCTTGAGGGAGATTGCACGGAAGTAGATGGGGCAAGTTCAGTAGGAGGTTCATCTAACATTGTTGAAACTTGGACATGATGATGTGGTGGAGGGGAGAGTGAAGGAGATGAGGAGATGGCGGGCGTACAGTGGGAGGGGAGGGGAGAAAGTGTTTAGGTGGGTGGCTCAGGATCCGGGGAAGGAACAGACCGGGTCAAGTGCATTTGCGGGGGAAAGGACCCACTCTAGCTTACTCCGTAGAACTCGGCCGCCTTACTATTCGTGCTCGTAATGTGTACATCATGGATACTCTGCTGGTCACAGGTGGTCATTTGCACAATCAATTGACACATGATTTAGCGGAAATCAATCTCTCATTCTACCTGTATGTGCTGTACGCACAGTACAGCAGATCTGAACTAAACCAGACCAACTGAAATCAGCCGAGACATTCCACCTGAGAAATTCCGAATGCACGAGATACAGACGAAGAGGTAAGCAACGACGATCCCAGCTCTTTAACCCAAAGCATTGACCGGTGCTGGCTGACCAGTGACGCTGAACACCTCGCTTCGGGATGTGGAGGCACATCCCGACCACAGCCTGTCTGGCGGTGACGGCGACTACAGGACATACGCTCTCCACCGGGACGTCCCCACTAGACCTCCTGGACTAACAAACAGAGGTTCCCAGAGCGCTTTGGTCGTGGGATCCGATCCTCGATAATGGGTAAGAGACACTCCACAAACCAGCCCCTCTGGTTCCGGAACGTAGTTGCTAAACAGCATCACAGCCACAAACACGAAGCCCAGCCCGGTACACTTCTTCTCGCATGGCTCGCCAATGATGCTCACCCAGACCACCGAGTCATCGGAATACTGGTGACGCTGTGGCGAAGAAGCACTCGCGAATGGCACAAAGGGGAGTATCATAATGGTACTGCAAAATATGTGAAATATGCAGTTCACTGTGGGAGAAAGTAACTTCTTGAGTTTGGGGGTTGATGGAAGGGAGTAAGCGGTTGGTAATGGTATATATAGACTAGAGTTGGAACTAATAAGATAATGATTTACGCATGCAGTCGTTTGATAGCAGAAAAGCCATAGAATCCCATCGTCGACACCGTAGCCGCCAGGGAGAAGAGAAGAATCACTCCGCCCGTGATGATGCCTTGTTCGAAGAACCCGATCTTCTTGCCGGCCCGTTGGCCGATCGCAGGCAACGGCGCTAAGTTCTCTGTCCACACCTGGTTCCAGTGGCTATTCTTGGTGCTCAGGACTGTCTGGGTGAGTGCGGCGTTACTTGTCGGAGTAATGAGCTGTGGCCGAGGCACCTGAAGTGATAGTGTCGAGTAGCGAGTGTCGGGGCTGGGGGTCAGGTTGGTGGGATAGGCGGGTCCAACTATAATTCATCAGCACTACGCTGTACAAATATTCGAGATAAACATACTCAGCATATCAGTGGGAACATGGTTGACCCAGGAAATGTAAGAGTCGATGAATTGGGTCAGGTATTTGGCGGACGCGGGGGCCGCAAAGGCGTATGTCGCAGCAAGCGTTCCGCGTCTGCTTCTGTCAGCTTCTGTTAGCTTCCTGCTTCAGATCGAATCGATGCCACTTACGAAGTACTAAAGTCAATAGCATCATCCAGACTGGTTATTGGATGTAGGATCAGCACTTTCTCCGCGACTTTTCTCTGTAGCAGGGGTGATTTCCTGAACAATGTTAGCAAGCAGCCCGAATTTCCACCGCCTCTCAGAGACATACCGATCCAGCACCTCGACAACACCCCACTCGGATCCAGAAACGAGAACGCGCGAACCAGCGTCCTTATGCGCCGCGTCGAGCAACGAGGCCCCTGGACTCGCGCGACGAGGGTTCGCGACGGCCTGGCGCGCCTCGCCATTCTGGCCGCCCAGGTACTTCGACGACCGCTGCAGCACCGCTTCCACAAACTCCTTCATGACAAACTCCTGCACGAGCACCACATCGGGCGAGTATGGCGAACGACCCCCAAAGGTCAACCGCGCCGCGACCAGCGCCTCCGCCGCCGCCGGCACGTCGGCAGTGCGGTCGACTACGGCGATTGTCCGAGCTGTGCTTGGAGAAGAGATACTTTGGCCGGAGATTTGGCCTGCATCGCCGTTCTGATTGAGCACTACCACCTGGCTCAGAAAGCTTACGTCGGGTCTATCTTCACTGACGGCGAAGGTATCTGCATCGAGCGCGGGCGGGAGGATCTTTTTCAGTAGAGCAGGCAGGGCCATAGTGTTTTTTGTCAACTGCCCTCAGCATCGGTCAGTCGTCTCTCTCCCTTCTGTCGGATAAGGCTGGAAACTTACCTCCAGGATAATGCAGTTCCCCGCTGCCAGTGCCGCACTCAGCGCCGAGACGATAGAGAAGAACATGGTGTGCGTGCACGGGACGATGTAGACGATGCCCGCGCCACGCTTGCCATCCCGGTTATCCTTACCATGTGCAACCCTATACTCCTCCTCGAGGTCTCTGCTTAAGTCTAGCGAAGCATAGTGCGTGCGAATCTCCTTCAATGCAAGACAGATCTCGGCGCGGACTTCCTCCGGGGCATGGCCCGAGTCGGTGAGCAGAGCGTCCTTGATCTGGTCAACGTGCTGAACGAGGGTGGATTGTAATCGGTGGAATTGATTCTGACGGTATCGGATGTTCTGAGTGCGGCCGTCTATCTCCGCGGACAAGATACGGGGGAAGTACTGTGGTGCAACCATTTTCGTGGATGATGTGAGAGACAATGTTTGCACGAAGTCCTGTGAGAACGGGGTAGGAATATAGCCATCGACAAGATCCGGGGAACGAACTGAGCTCAGCTTCGGAGATAAGCTAGTCTATTCCCTTCATCTATGTGGACATGAATGGGCCAGTCGGATCAATGGGCCGCAGTCGAGGTGCTGGAGGATGGTGGATGGGGGAGGATGGCATGGTGTTCGGGATGTGGAGGAGGCAATGGATGCGCCCTGGGGCGATCGATGCCTGCCGAGGTTTGATGCTGCAGAATCCAGCATATCACCCTGACTCCAGCTATTCTGAGATTATCTCACCATAAGCAGTTTCCCCCATCATTGTTTACCCCACGCAATCATCATCACCATGTCGACCACCGCGACCACCACAACAACCACTACCTCCACACGGGTCGGCACTCTATCTGTGCTATCGGATTATGAATTGCATCACTCAGGCGAGGCGACGCCTTCCTCATCACTAGAATCAACGTCCAGCACGACACAGCCCGCACAGCCTGCCAACTGGCCCACCGACCATCGCCGAGTACCTGCTTACCGTCCGGTCAACCGCGAGTTGAACCTGAGTGAGCGACAGGCGGGCGCGAATAGAGCCGAATTTGTGTTCATCCAGACCATGCTACACGGTGTTTGGTTGAACGCGGTAAGTCAGATTCTACCGGCCAAGCATGTCGAGCACAGCTGATGAGTTTAGGTCGTGTCACGAGTCTGGCATGCAACGGGGGGCAAGATCAACGACAAGATCTTTCACTACGAGATCGGAGGAGAGTGGTAGAGTGGTTTCGGGGCATGCGGTAATGCAATACAAGCGTGTCAAGTCTGGGAGTTATACTATTCTTTTTATCACAGAGCAATCCAATGCAATTCATTTAATTCAAATCCTACTGGTTCAGTTGAGCTCGCCTAGTGCGAATAGCTATGTAGGTGTTCGAGACCAGAACTCACCTGGAACGTGCAAAAGCCCTCGGAAACCTCCAGTGATTAACACTCGGTCAATGCTGGTATTCAAGCATTCAGCCCCCTTGTACTGTAGTACATGTACAGCACATGCAGAGTGTTTCTCCAATAGCTCCTGATTCCAAGTACATTCAACAATCACGCTTGCACTACCAACGACAATCCATTCCCTAGACAAAAGCACAATGACTCGATTCCCACAACTTCTATGTTCAACATACAAGATCAACCATACATACTATACCACCAATCCCGCCCCCCCCCCTCCCTCCCCCCAAACCAAAATCAAGTACTCCCCCGAACTTCAATCCCAGACACATCCTCAACTAACCCCTCCCCCCTCGCCGGCGCCAGCACATACAACATCCGTGCCCAGCACGCCACCCTCTCCCCATCCTCCCCGACAGTATCCGGCGTGACATTGCGCCACGCATGGTTGGTGCCGCGCTGGACCGCCACATCGCCGCGCTTGAGCAGCCGCGTTTCCCCGGAGTCCAGCACCAGCTCGACCTCGCCCTCCAGCACGACCCCGTAGTCCAGCGAGACGGTGCGGTGCATGGGGCTCAGCGCGTGCGGCGGCATGTCCACGATCCGGCACACGGTGCCCGTGCTGATCGTGATGCCCGGCGGGTGGGTGAGGTAGTGGCTGTAGGCGGGGATGTCGCGCTCGTCGGTCAGGTCCACGGGAAACGTGTCGGTGGTGTACGCGAGGGAGAACTGGGCCGCCGCGGAGTCGTTGATCTGTTGCACGGGCATGGTTTCGGGCAGGGTGGTGGAGAAGATCGCTTGGTGGGTGGTTGGGGAGTGCGTGGTGATGTAGCGGTTGAGGGGGCGGATGTTTTTGGGGGTGGTGCTTGGGGGGTTCGGGGTGGTCATTTTGGCTTGTGTTCTGGTTTCTTTTGAGGTTGAAGGTGGTGGTGGTAGTAGATGGAATTGCACGGTTGGCTGTTGGTTCTGTTCAAGAAAAGTATAAGGAAGTTGGAACTTAAATTGTAAGGGACTGAGCGAAGTTGCCACTGTTCTAATTATATGTTGTTTGTGTTGATCTTTCCTGCTCTCTAACATACCATACTGAGTATATCAGTATAGTTACCGGCCACACTGCGGGGAACGCTCTCGGGTGCGTTTCGGGACCACATCGGGTGAGGGGAAAGCGTGTGTGAGCAATCAATTCAATTGTTTGGCAGGTTGACGTGCAACCCCACCTCAAGTCTATGTGTTTCTAAACTGGCAATCTACTCTCTCGGAGGAATAATCGGCAAAGTCACGTAGTTGTCCCCATGCCCGAAGTTGATGTGGTTGAATCCCTGGAACTTCTCCTCCGACCGGTCGACAGGGGAATTATGCTGGAACAGGCCAGACCCCTGAGTATCTCCCGAAGACACCTCAAAAACAATCTTCCCTCCCTTCTCCACCACCACGTTGGTCGGCCACACCTCCACATCCACCGCGTACACCTCGCCCGGGACCACCGGCAGCACATCGGTGGAATAATAGTCGCGGTGGGGCAGCCAGGGCCGGTTGCGCGGGTGCTCCGCGTTGACCTTGCGCAGACTGACTCGCTGCCAGCCTTTGCAGAGAGGGACCGGATCCCCTGCTGTGCCGGTGTAGAAGACCTCCTTGCCCTCCGGGGAGATATGACGCAGTGTCAGGAACAGGTCGATATCTCTGGGCGTCGGACGCCCGGGCTCCGGGCTCATCGATACGTTCAGGTGGGCCACGATGTGGCCGGTGATTTCCGTTTCCTGCTCGAATGGTGCCGTCGTGAACTGCACTAGCTGTGGCTCGTCGAGGTTGCCCAGAGCACGGTACGTGATCTTGGCCGGTCGCTCCTTGGGGGCTTCCGTCACCAGCTCCTGCTTCGAAGTTAGGTAGTAACGGGTATACTGGGTGCGGGCGATAGGCCACTCAGTCTCCTGTCGGCGTGGGTACTGCTTCTCGGCTTCGGCGTTGTTGAAACCAACATCGCCCTTGCGGAGGACCATGTCAACCTTGGGAGCAGTGCCGTCCGCCCAACCCGCGCGATCTTCGCCCTTCAGAAAAGCATCCAGAAAACTCCGCTGCACCTCCACTTCCTCCTTGTAGTAGAAAGGCAGGTCGTGACGGCCCGTGATGAAGCGCAGGTACTTGAGTTCGCTGCCGGCTTGAGTGTACCCCTCGACGTTGCCGCGAAGGTGCAGGAGGATACCACCCCAATTGGCGACCGAGAGAAGAGGCACCTGTTCACAGACTGTCAGCTGGACTCCAGATTCTGCAGTCAACCCACACAAACCTGAATATCGGTCATGGTATACTCCTTGCTAGCATAGTATACATCATCCCGGAAATGGTTGTTGACATTGTCGATCGTCTGGTCTTGACGGTTGGCCTCCAGCTCCTCCTCGGGGAGATCACCTTCGATGGTATCGGGGCCCCAATTGCGTGCTGCTCGACCGGGGCGTCCGTATTGATTCGATACAACCTGGCGATCCCACCAGAACTTGATGAACTTGTTGGAAAGGATTCCGCCGTGGCGACAACGGTCGCGGTAGTAGTCGGACATACCCTCCCAGGGAACAATGCAACTCAAGCCCTTGGGCTGGCGGGCGCTGACGCGCCATTGACTTCCAGCATAGTAGCTAATACCCAGCAAGCCGACTTTTCCCGTAGACCAGGGTTGCTCGGCCGCCCACTCCACCACATCGAAGAATGCCTCGCTGGTCTCGCGAGACATGGTGTCCAGCTTGCCACGCGACTGGCCGGTTCCGCGCTCGTCCGCTCGAACCACCGCGTATCCATGCTTGGTCCAGAAAAGGGGATCCGGTGTCTCCCATGCTGAGTGCTCCGAGCGATGTTCGGGATTGACTTCACTGAACGACTGGGGGTGGAAGTCTGCATAGGGAATATCCTTTCCGTAGGGGCCGTAGGTCACGAGCACAGGCGCCTTCTCCAATTCTTTGGGGCGATAAACATTGCAGCGCACAAGACCAGATTGATCTTTCAGGGGAATTGTGACATTTTGCTCGAAGACGTAGGGGAAAGAGGTATCGTCCACCGTGGTGAGGTCTTCACGGATAGGGTTCGGCATGTTGTCTTCACGTTGCAAAGGCCTTGTGATGCAGCAATTGTTTCGTGATAAAACAGAGAAGGTGATAAGTAGTGAGCTTGGTGTCATGAGGGATAAATACTCAGAGACTCCAGTCCACAGGTTGCTAATGGTAGGTCGCGGTCTGTTCTCTGAGCTCTTGCTCATGCACACTCCGAACGTGGGGCCGAAATGGTGAGCCGAACCTGCTCGGAGGGGCAACTAAACCAACCCGAAAGGTGGGCAATTGTCCAAGTAAGGTATGAATGACACTCTCCACGCAAGGGAGTGACCAGCATTGTTCTCAGCATGTCAGTTGCGGGCTTATAATAAAGGGAGCAGGGTTGTCAGACGGACGACCTATATCCCCCGCATTTGACAACTTCTTTTACCAACGCAAAACGGGCATCATGGGCAGCATCGATCCCAAAGCCGCCTCGCAAGGAGGCCTGAACATTCTTATTGCTGGTGCTGGTATCGGTGGCTTGGCTGCTGCTATTGCACTACGCAAGCAGGGCCATCGCGTTCAGGTGTGTATGTTTTTACCCTCATATCAGACTCAAGCTAATCGCTTCCATGCAGCTTTTCGAGCGCTCTCGATTCGCAAACGAGATTGGAGCTGCTATTCATCTCACACCTAACGCTAATTCTGCGCTGCTAGGTCTGGGAATTGATGCAGCCAAGTTTGGAGCCGTGGAAGTAGACCAGGTTTGTCCCGTGGGATATTTTTACTTCGTTACTGGGAGCTTACCTTTACCAAGCTGCACATCTATAATCCCGCCGGCAAGACGCTGGCAATTGTGGATCACAAAGCACGGGCAGATAGGTGGCGAACTGTAAGGAAACCCATTGCTCTCATGTTCGTTACAGTCTAACATCTATAGAAATGGTCTCTTGTGCATCGGGCCCATCTCCATGAAGGCTTGAAGAATGTCGCTCAGGGATCTGGTCCTGGCATTCCTGCCGAGCTGCATACTGCCAGCAAAGTTGTCGACATTGATCCAGAAACTGCCACAGTTACTCTCGAAAACGGCCAAGTCTTCCATGGCGATGTCGTGATTGGGGCAGATGGTGTACACTCACTTGCGAGAACGAAGCTGCCAGGCACCAAAGAGATAGAGCCCTTCAGTTCTGGCAAGAACGCCTTCCGCTTTCTCTTGTCACGCAAGGTCGCCCAGGAAGACCCCGAGACAAAATCCCTGGCCGATGTCCCCAGCATCTGTAGCATGTGGGATTCACATGACAAGCGTGTGGTCATCTATCCATGTGCCAACAATGAGATCCTGAACTTCGTCTGCATCCACCCTGACACACTTAGTAAGGTGAACACCGGCGCAGACTGGGATCAGGAGGCCAGCAAAGATGCTCTTTTGGAAGTTTACAAAGACTTCAAGCCAGAGGTGGTCAAGATCTTGTCCAAGGCTGATCCCCAGACACTTAAAGTATGGCCCCTTTTCGACATGCAAAAACCGCCCACGTGGGTCAATGGTCGCCTGGCAGTGCTGGGAGACGCCGTTCATCCGTTTTTGCCATACCGCGCTTCTGGCGGTGCTATGGCCATTGAAGACGGCGTGTCTCTTGGTGTGATGCTCTCGAAGGACCTCGACCCAGCAGAAGTCCCAGAAAGGTTGAAGCTGTACGAGGAAGCTCGATACACACGAGCTACCACGATTCAACAGATGACTCGAGACTCTGATGGCCCCCAGCCCGTCGACGAAAGTCAGTTCCCCCCTTTTCTACATTCCGCCGCCCAAGGTTACTGACCTCACTTAGTCCGTAGAATGGAAGACTATATTTACGGGCATGACGAATACGATCATTCGACCAACCTCCTCCGAAAGCACCTCTGGAGTCAAGGGTCGCCCAAGTACTGGCGTCAGCCAATAGTGTTCGGGCCTATGCCTGGTCCCAGACAGGACTGGTACGGTCGAGATCGTGTCCAGAAATCGCTCAAAGCCACTTTTGAGACAGTCTCCATCCGATTTAAAACCAGTCGAACCTGCCTCCAGAACCTCCTTCCCAATGACTCTTGGTCATTTGTGAACCAGGGTACAGTAGCCTACGCAAGCTTCTCCCAGACAAAACTCCACCGCATGGACTGGCTGGGCGGAGGCGGTTACCGCCACATCGGCCTGTACATCGAGGGAGTGCAGTATAAGAAGAAGAATGGTGAAACGGTTGAGGGCACCTATTTGCCGATTCTTTTTGAGAGTCTGACTGATCCTATCGTCAGCGGTCGTGAGGAGCTTGGCATGCCCAAGCTCTATACAGCAATTGATGCCCACGACCGCAGCAACTCGCACCATTTGACAACCAGTTGGCAAGGCGCCGTTTGGGGTCATTTCCACTTGGAAAATCTCGAGGATCAGGAACCAGAGATGAACACGAATCCTAATCCGTCCAGCGTGGGGATCTTAGTGCACCGCTACTTCCCTAAGGTCGGCCATGAGAACAAAGGGGTGCCTGAAGCAGAGTACCCTGTCATTGTGCCACATGCGGAGGAGGCTAAGGTGGTTCCCTCCAAGATCACCCGGCTGCGAACTACCAAGAACGCAAGGTTTGAGATCGATGGTCTCAACTGGACACAACTACCCACATTGCATCACATCATTTCTCGTTTGGCCGAGATTCCAGTAGACGAAGTTGTTGGTGCAAAGATTGTGGAAGGTGAGGGAGTGCCAGATGTATCAGTGGCAAAGCGTTTGGAATAAGTACTACTTGGATCGCAATGTCACGCAGTATTCACTTCTATTGACATACTTCTGTACTTATGCCTGTTTGTCGAGCCACGGATGGAACATTGAAGCATAGCCGCATTTTCGGCATGTTCTGCCCCCGCATAGCGGGGTAGGCCTCGAGCCATAGGGTAGGAAGTGAAGTAGCAATATCCGCGATTGCCGGCGTTGCGTTTAGACCATCAAATCCAGATGTTAAGACAGTTACTTGACTGGAGTCCTGAGCACAAACTAGCCTGCAGCATCACTAAAGAGGCAAACGGTGTAATAACTGCAAGGTGGTAACTGTTCAGTACACCTCGCACAGCTCATCTTCAATTCATTATGCTTGATCTTTGGCAGTCTCCTGTGCAGTGAAACCAGCCACGAGGCCTATGATAAGCTCTTCTTACGGAGCAGCACCTTGAAGTGAGCTGAAGCGGTCTGTAATGGTTCTTTGGGTATTTATATATTCGGATCGTGTCGATCCAGAAACTGGGATGGGGTAGAAAGACCGCAAGCACGTTCGAGGTTGAGGTATAAACACAGCGATAGGCCTACCCCAGATAGTAGTGCAATGAAATGTTTCATGGCTGTTCAATGACATATTTCCGAGCAGCGATTGCATTGATAGCCTTCGAGAGAGGAGAGAAGGATCCGACTTGGAAACTCAGAGATGTATGGTTTGATTAGCTCAAATGCCATAGGCATTGATCGCTAACGGTCGCTACAGTAGTTAATTTCGGGCTCATGATTAATCGAAAACCCAAAGGCTCCGTGGAGGGATCAGGCTGTCGGCCAGGATTGATGACAGGAGGGTTCATTCATGTGACCTGACACTAATTTCGCCATCTTAGTGACTAGGTACTAGTACGAAGGAGATGAGCTATAGTCAGTGGTGGTCAGCAGCTACACGATGACAGACATGTCAGGTAAGGTAAATATATACTTCTCTCGTTGTCGATGATCATTCTGGGTCTAGAATGGTCTAGAACGACAGCAAACATGGCTATAATTGTCTCCTTCATTGGTACTCTTTGGTTTGAGAAGGAATGGAGGTGAGATACATGCTCTCCATAGAAAGGGTAAAGAAGAGCTCAAGAGTCAGCATTCAATAGCCTGATGTAGAATGGGTTAGAGTTGTTTTGAGATTGCATGTTTGGAACCGACGGTCGCAGGCCAGGCCTGGGTGGGCGGATGACGCATGACTTGCTGCCTGCCGAATCAGGCCGGATGCCGGACCTCCATTGATTCTGCACCTCACCAGGAACCGTAACCTGCCCATCCCGCCTTCCTTATCACTCACTCATTCACTCTCACTGCACCTACACAGTACAGTACTTCCTGCTATTGTTTCTAAAAATCTATATCTTTTATTCATTCTTATTCTCTCAGGTTTTACCTTACCTGAGCACCGTTAGACCTCTGCATCTTACCGACCTTATCCTCCCTTTCCACTTCGGTCTTATCCTCCCGCCCGCGTCTTACTCCTCTTCTCTACAACACCACCTTTCCTCGCGTGCTCGTCCCCCGATTACCTTTCCCTGGGTCTCTACGCACTTCCATTAGAAATCAACCACACTTGGGAAAGGCAAACAGCTCCGTTCGATTCTCAGCTTTTTAAAAGTACTCATTTGCTGTCCTTTTGAAACGGCTTCAATCCCACATTCTTCTTTCCTCAATACAGCTTACTCTTCCCGGCTTTGGGAGAGCTTCCCCGCATCTACCGCTGCACAGCATCATGTACGTCGCGAAAAGGCATACGCTCGGAGAAATCACTTCCAGGAAAATATGTTCAAGCTAACGATGATCCCAACTATCTTTAGGCGCATCACGGTAAGCGTTATTCGCCCGGATCAGGCCGATGCCGATATTATCTCCCTCGAAGTCGGGGCGGATATGACCGTCGAGCTCCTGAAAGCTATTGTTGAAAGTGAAACCTCGATACCACCCAACGCCCAGCGACTCATATATAACAATCAACTGCTCGGTGATGACTCCTGTACGCTTGAGCAAGTCGGCATAGGTGAAGGGGATATGCTCGGTGTCCATGTGACGCTGCGAGCACCCCCCGCGCCCACCCGGAGCATAGGAGGATCCAGCTCTGCTGCCGCCCAACAAAATTTGCAGCGACGTCAGGCTATGACCCCAGATCCCGAGACAATTCGCCTACATATTTTGGGTGACCCTCGTGTGCGGGAAGCCGTCCGAAGACAGAACCCGGAGTTGGCGGATGCTGCCAATGATGCGCAGCGGTTCCGCGAGGTCCTCACCCGACAACAAACCCGTGAAGCTCAAATGGAGGCGGAGAAGGAAGCGCGGATTGCCATGTTGAATGCCGATCCTTTCAACCCCGAAAATCAGAAGCAGATTGAAGAGATCATTCGCCAGAATGCTGTGACGGAAAACCTCCATAATGCAATGGAGCATCATCCGGAGTGTAAGTCGGACCTGCAAGTCTTCATAATTTTCGGAGCTAGTCATTAAACATACAGCACAGCATTCGGTCGCGTAACCATGCTATATATCCCTGTCGAGGTCAACGGCCACAAACTCAACGCTTTTGTCGACTCCGGTGCACAGGTCACCATCATGTCGCCAGAATGTGCGACCGCGTGCAACATTATGAGACTCGTTGATCGGCGGTACGGCGGCATTGCGAAGGGCGTGGGAACAGCAACCATTCTTGGTCGGGTGCACTCGGCACAAATAAAGATTGGCAGCATGTTCCTGCCGTGTTCATTTACTGTCATGGAAGGGAAGCATATTGATTTGCTCTTGGGCTTGGACATGCTGAAACGGCATCAAGCCTGCATTGATCTCCAGCGGGGTGCTCTGGTGATCCAGGGCCAGGCAGTCCCCTTCCTTGGTGAGGCGGATATTCCCAGGCACCTTCTGGATGAATTCGAGGACGAGCCCGTCATCAAAGGACCCGATGGCGCCGAAGTCGGCGCCCGAACGGGAGCGGTCACGCATCAGGCCGGTGGCAGCAGTCAAGGATCTGGTAATTCTTCCGCGCCTCCTACCCGCCCAGCCCCACCAACATCGCGCTGGCCACAAGTTTCCATTGGAAAAATCACAGAGCTGGGCTTTACACGGGAAGAGGCGATGCGTGCATTAGATGCCGCCAACGGGAACCTGGACGAGGCCATTGGATTCCTGATTTAATGTGTGATGTCACGACCTGACGTAGATTTTCTTGACATAACCGGGCGAGGCCTGGCCATTCCCTTTGTTACCGCTCAATTTGATCTATCATCGCCGAGCCGAATGTGCACTGTGAGATGCGATTTTTCTTTCTGTCATAGTGACAAATGGTCTCCTCATGTTGCTCGCATTTTGTCCCTGTGACTCTCAGCTCTTGCTACGATGGAGGTCGCTACGAGGTGGGCTAGACACCAGTCACCATTTTATATCTCTCGGGGAGTGCTTTCTCGCGATTGCAACGTTCGTCTTTCTTGGCCAAACCACACTGCAGGCGCCCTGTCTCTCATCCTTATTATGCAATTTTCTCACATAGAGTCGATGTGGCGGGTTTTGCTGTCACTCGGGAAGCATCCAAAACCTGTACAGCAGCGAGCAAATATGCCACAATCTAACAGCCGGGAGCTATGATAAGGCAAGTCAGTATCTTTGCGCGTCTCTATCCGAGCAACTCTAGTGATCTATTTGCGTATGTGGTAACCAAGATTTGCTTCTCAATTCGTGGCCACCCCCGTCTTCCAACCTTTCCGCTACCTGGGGCATGAAGCCGTCGCAGATCCAACGAAAGTAACCAGACTAAATTCCGAGATACTTAGCCGTCTACTCCAACTTGGGCTTGAGCACAAGTCGCTCGCGAAGTCTACAAAACATGTCGACTGCCATGAATGCGCCTAAAAACACCATAAGTCAGCCTCTGCCAAGTGGTACTGTAATTAAGCCCTAAATTTAGATCAGCCTTACCGAGAGCAACATAAGGACCATAGAGCATGGTAATATTCTGCTTCTGGTCGAGCGTACGGTCCGTCCAGCTCCAGACCTCCACCAGACAGATGGCAGAGGTGAGAAACGATTGCACTCCGAAAACGAGCAAATGGACGGGAACAAGAGGATCATCTGTCATGGTAAGCAAGCACCCAGTGGGAGAAAAATAGTTCAAAAAAAAAAAAAGAAAGAAAGAAAGAAAAAGAAAACGGATGGAGACAGGGCTGTGATGTAAGGGGACGTTTAGGGAGAGGGGGGATTTCCCGGGAGGGAGGAAAGAGAGTGGAGGCGTAGGCGTAGATCATGGACCTCCCCAGAAGAAAGAAAGGAAAATGATCCACCCACTGCAACCCGATGACCTGGATTCTATGGAGTATACGGAGTACTGTGTGAACATACCTTTTTTCAGGCCACGCAGAGCCCAGACACTGAGCGGAACATGGTAGAATAGCTCCATCAACAGAAAGAAGGTAAACCAAGTGGTTGGGGTCTCCTCGAAGAACTTGTCATGGTAGGTTTCGATGTAGAACTCGCGGAGCGTCACGCTGAGATCTGACTGGAGGAACGACGGCAGGATAGGAGCGGCATCGACCACTGATCGTGTTTGTTTGCGTGTGCATCATGCTGTCAGTTTGTTGTTGCCCTTCTCTCCCGCTCTTGCTCTCTATGTCTCATCTACATCTGATCTGTGCTGGGGGGCGGTGGGTGGGGATGGGAAGCAGCAGAGTAGTACAGAATAACAGTCTTTCTGCATTGCACCAGGGTAGGGATTGGAGGGGGAATGAAAGTGTCTCGGTAGTTTGGGGGACAACTCCCGACCGACTCTGATTGACTTACAGAAGATGATGGGGACATGGATGGCGAAGAATGCGAAGTAGACGAGATCGCGTTTCCGGCTCCACAAGGATACGGGAGAAGTGGCAATAGCCATGGTTCTAGTTTGCGAGCTGCGAATACGTTCACGGCCCTGTGTGATTGCTCGAGAACTTTTGGAGGTGGGAAAATCGATAATAAACAAGGCGAAAGCAAATAATAGTGAGGTATGTCAACACATACACACAATTCAAGTTTGCTTGTGGAAAATTGATGTGTGCTGCACCGTCCTTAGTCAGGTGATCCCCGCCCCCTTGTGCAGCTGCCAAAACGGGACAAGCAAACAAACCAAAATGTACATCTCACCTGACTCGAGTTCTTTTGACTTCGAGAACTCGACCAATTTCTCCAGAAAGTCCCCACAGCAAAAGCACCTTTCTTATTCTCTTTTGAGAAAATCAAAGGGGGTGAAAGATAAAGAGAGAGAGGGCAAAAAAAAGCTCCCCCCGCCGTTCGCCTGACCCGATCGACTGGGAAAGACAGACACTCGACAGGTACGCACGATCAAGAAGGATGTTTGCTTTTTCACACCTCTCTGCACGCACCTCGGATTCCCTTTTACCTACGGAGTACCTGCCTAAACATAGCTTAAGCTTAGCTTGCGTGAGACTACGATAGCCTGTCAATCAAGCTGTCTGCTTGGACCCTCAGGGCTCTACTTAATTTCACTTAGTGTGTCGCCCCAGTAAATGGTTGGAAGAACGATGGCCCAACAGTTTGTGGACACCGATGATGGACTAGTTCGATTCGGCTCTCCATCAATCGACCTTGCAGCAAATCTCATCCTGTCTAAGAATCTTATCGCCTTATGAGACACCTCATGATCCGTCCACGATGGGTGGTCCCATCATCAGGGGATGAACCCGTCTACCTATCCTGAAAGTGATCTCTCATTCTTGGGCGGCCCGATAACTGGACGTGTGTTTGTGTGTGTCTCCTCACCGCAACTTGTGATCCCCCCCCCTTGAAACTCGTCCTTTTACACCCACATTCCCCCCTCCCACCAGTAAAGCCTGATGATGCAAAAGTCCCAACGGGACTTTCGATCTGTGGCAACAGCCCCCTCTGAGCCGATCTTCTGCCCCTCTGGGCTATTCTTGGACCGGAAATTGGCCTCACTCCCTATGGTGAGGCGACAAAAGTACTGCAAGGATAGACAGTCGGTATCCGCCAGAGGAAGCCGGATCTGCTATGCCTCTGAATAACAGAATTTGTGTACAATTTCTGCAACCCCCGGTAACTCGATCCAGGAAATCGACTTTGACATCGATCCTCGATGGGGCGGGTCATGCTTCCAGAATATGAGACAGGCTCGATTTATCTCCTAGGCCCCATGAACTCATTGGCAAGTTGGCAACGGACGACGGGAAGATTGCCGCATAGCGCCACACTTTGTGCCACCAGCCGTCAGCAGTCCATTGTTGCAGTTCCAGTGCTCCGTGGGGATTATTGGCCTGCTAGTCCCCGGTTCCCGGGACGGTACCGCTGCTGGTCATGGATACCTTGTATTCCACCCTGGAAGCTAGTATAACCCTTAACCTAGTAACCCGGGGCGAGGATTTGACCGTCCGTGGTCACAGGACGGCCCAGCATGCAGATCAGGATTAGGAGCACAGCACTATTTGTCGCAAGCATTCAATATCTACTACTCAGTATCCACTGGCATCAGATTTAGGATTACTCTCAAGATTCTCTGGAGCAGCTGCAATTGTCGTTGTCTATTGCGTAAGAGGAAGATCGTGAAGAGCAAACCGCGACGCGATCTGAAGCAGACGGCCACGGATCATGTCCGGAAACCGACTTGGTCATGCCTCGAGCGTGGACTAACCGATGCAGGAAGTAGAAGAGTTCAATGCAACCAAATTGACAGAGAATTGGGACAGCATGCCGCATGCACAGCTGTTTCCGATGGCTTTGGTCACGATGGCAATTCGACGCCTCCAGGCTCTGGAATTTCTAGGTTGACGGTGGCTCAAAGTGGACACTATGCAATCTGAACCGCGTCGGTGGGCATGATCGCACATAATCAGGCCGATGCCCCTCCGCCCTTTCTTCGAGGCTTCTGTGGGCCTTCGATACCGTCTGGGAAATGTTCTAGAGAGCTACCTTCGGCGATCCATCGTCACCGACGAGTAGACACCTTAACGTGGCTGAGTGGAGACAACTTTGATGGAGCCCCGGACATTGGTCCGCATTCCCGAATGGAAACAAACGTCACAGGGGGGGCTAGCAAAAGCGGATCGGCCTGGCCCACCGTTGCGCCTTGATCCAATTTGTTTGGTACCCTAAATTCTACAATGACTACCGGTATGATTTGGATGCAAGTATGGCAATCGGCGAAGATCAAGAATCCATGTACCACAAGCGTTTACACCGCGTCTGGATGGCAATTGGGAGCTAGAACGTCTCCAGCATGATCTTCTTCAAACGACGTATGTACGGTCATCGAAGTTGGACTCCTTGACAATGATATAACGATATACTGTTGATCGTCTCCGTTCACTATGAGTTTGATACCGACTATATCGGAACCAGCAACGTCAACTTGTATTCATTGATTCAATCAGGGCTCGGGATCAGTCAGAAACGCCCTCGAACAAGTGCCACACAACAGGGAGCTTAGATTGCAAGCACGCAAGTCCCAATTTCAGGCTCAACGTCGTACGGGCTATCATGTCGGTGGCCTATGGATAAGACAGATTATTACATCCACCAACCAACGAAGAGCCTTGACGCTGCAGAATTCCAGGATTATTGAGGAAAAGAAATGACCT